AGGATTCACTACGAATCATACCATGAAGGTGAAGGGGAAGATATATGGCAGGATGGTGGTGATGTTAATTGATAGTGGGGCTATCCATAATTTCATTTCCACTCAGGTCGTCATTATGAGTGAAATTAGTGGACACCAGTTGTTATGGGGTGATGATGGGTACAGGGAAGGTGGAGAAAGGCCAGGGGATCTGTAGAAGAGTGGTGTTGATCATCCAAGGGATTCAGGTAAGGGATGACTTTCTTCTACTAGAGTTAGGAAGTACTGATGTCGTCCTAGTGATGAAGTGATTGCAAACCTTGGGGGAAACCAAGGATAATTGGGGAGCACTCACGATGGAATTAATGGGAGCACTCACGATGGAATTAATGGGATGGGAGAAAGGTGATTAAGGGGAGATGCAGGGCTATCCAAAGCCATGGTATCACTTAAGACCATAGTTAGGGACCTACAAGAGGTGGGGGAAGATTATCTGGTGGGACTACACGGGCTGGAGGCGATCAGACTGGAGGAGGGAGGGGATGTTTCTCTTTCAATGCAGCCCTTGATTTAACAATTAAGTAAGGTTTTTCAGTCACCTCAAGGATGGCCACCTCCACGGGAACACGAGCATATTTCCACCTTGAGGACAAAGTGGATCTTTGGGAGGGGAGTATTGTTAAACCGGTCCAATCGGCTCAGGCGGAGAACAGGCGGAGAATTCTGCCTGTCCGATCAAGTCGCCGAAGCTTAGGGAACCATTTTGGAAGGTTTTTTGATGAAATTGGGAGGGAAATATGAATGTAGGGATTACTTAGGAATTTCCTTTGGATTTGTATGCATTAAATACTTTGTTTTCCCAGGGTTTGGGTATCTTGAATTTGGCTGAAATTTGAGATCTCTTAGATTTATGTTTTCTTTGGGCTCTAGCGACGTCTAGAGATTTGGGAGAGATCGATCCTCCTCTTGAATTAAGGATCAAGTGTATCGTGCTATTTTCCGTGTTCCTTTCATCAAATAATGCAAATTATCTATTGTTTGTGTGATTTTGTGTGGATTATTGTGGAGAAAGCTCGTTGTTTTCCGATGATTAATAGGAAATACTTGAGATCTACAAGTGTTTCCTATCACTAAGATGACTCTCTCTAATCTTGTATGTCAATGAAGCTACTCCAACCTTTTCACTTATATGCTCATTTTGCATTCTACGTCCACGTGTAAAGTCGCTCATTCACCCAAGCATCCTCATCTCTATACAACACTTAACTTAATTTTATGGTTATCTTTTAATGACCAATATTTTGTGACATAAAGCATTGCAGGTCTCGCCACCATCTTATAAAAATTTCCTCAAGTTTGAAGGATACTTTTTTATAACACAACAGCATGATGTATTCCTCCACTTGAACCATCCAACTTGAATACTATTAATAATATCACCATTTATTTCACCATTGATTTAAATAATAGACTTGAGATATCTAAAACATGCACTCTTTTTAATGATTTAATCATCCAATGTCACAATCCCACCGTTGGATCTATTACTACTAAAATTATACTGCATGTATTTAATTTTAGATCTATTCAAAACAAAACCTTTAGACTCTAACCTTGACCTCCACAATTCAAGTTTTTTCATCAACTCCCTCTCTAATCTTATCAACAAGAAGAATATCATCAGCAAAAAGCATATACAAAGGTAAATCCTCTTGCAAATGTCTAGTAAGAACATCCATGACTAAAGACAAAATATATGGGCTTAAAGCTAATTCCTTGATGTAATCCAATTGAAATAGGAAAAGACTTAGTCAAACCACCTTGTGTTTGAACATAACTCTCCAAAGCACTTCTCTTAGAACTTTATCATATGCTTTATCTCAATCAATAAATATTGTATGTAGATCCTCTTTACTCTCTCTATACTTCTCCATCAAACCTCTCAGCAAAACATATAGCTTTGATATTAGATCAACCCAACATGAATCCAACTAATTTTAATATATGACACATTAACTTAATTCCTCTATAATTTGCATATTCTTATGCATCACCTTTATTCTTAAAAATAGAAATCAACACACTCTTTCTCCACTAGCATCTTTTTAATCTTCAAAATAATATTAAAGAGTTCAATAGGCCAAGAAATTTCTTGATCTCCTAAGTATTTCCACCTATGTTGCACCTATACAGATACGACGACACAGATATGACACGATACGGATACGGGACACGTCAATTCTTAAAAATACAAGATAGGGGTATGGCGCGGACATGGCATTATAATTAATAAAGCAATTAAAACATAATATTTGAAAATACAAAAAAAAAATGAAAGCAACATCATTTGTAGCCTTGTAGCTTATAATATCAAAAATAAATGTAAGCATTAAATGTCTAGTACAACAACAACAGTATAAACATAAATTGTATAGCACATGAAGTTTCAACTATTCAATAAAAGGAATGATATGATTAGCTTCTTCAGTGGTTTGTATTTGAACTTCTATATCATCTTCAATAAACATCATAGCTTCTAATTCAGGCTCATCAAGTGAAAGATTAGCCTTTCTAATATTCTCATATCATCAAGAAACTCAAATCCATCTCAAAAATGAGAGAACCTCACTCGCAGCCACGGAAGTAAATACGACGCGTCTTTTTTTTTCTTTGTTTTTCGATAGACACGCGTGTCCTTTTGAAATTAAATAGTATTTTAATTGGATACGGCTTTGCCGTATGCAACATGTATCGGTGTCATATTGGAGGCATATCCGTGTATCAGTGTATCGGATACAACACGCCTTCATAAATAGGTGTATCGGTGCAACATAGATTTCCACATACCCAAGCCTTAAATGAGAAAAGTGGGGGTTGCGTTAGATAGTTGACAGCTAACATAAAATTTACCAAACAGTTATGACATGAATCCTTAATTTAATTGTGCTAAGAAAAATAAATTTGCAACAAGTATTAATACAACCACCATATCATACATGTTCTCATTAACTCCAACATACCTTCGAGACATCTTTTCTACACAACCACCCCACCAATTAATTTTCAAAGCACAAGATGATGTCTTTTTAAAGTCAATAGAAAGTATAAAATAATTTTTGTTATTATCTATGTTATTTTGTTAGTGGAATTCATAAAGAAATTTTCCCTTATAATTAGACTCTAGCATAACATTAAATGATTATGACACCATATCTCTTGTTCACTCAGGTGTTAACATAAATCTATAGTGAGATTGATAAATTTAATACTCAAATGACTAACATTATTCTTAATGTCCCGTTGCTCTTAAAAATTTGAAAGAAAATTCATAATCATAAGGAATTTATTGAAAAACTCATTAACTATATAACATCTCTAACAATACTCCTGAACATAATTGTATCTCATCAAAATTTCAGCTTTACCGTATAAATGAATATGACAAGTCAACCATGTAACATGAATTTGTTGCGGCAATGAACATATTAGTGGAATTCATAAAGAAATTTTTAACTCAAACTTGAATAGTGTAATCACATAAACATTATATTTCTTGACATGCTGGATTTTTTCCTTAATTTAAATAGATAAACATAATACAAAAATAGTGAAAAATATACCTAATCAATATCATACATGTTCTAGTATAAGAGAGGGGAAAGACATAAATGTAACACAATTATGAAAAAGACAAGAAATAATACTCCACCGAATTAAAGGAAATTATAAATATAAACCTAAAAAAAAATTAGAGCCGTAGCATGCATAAGATTTTGATCACAAGGCATTGGAAACAAAAGTAGAGGCTTTGACTTACAGAAAGAAATATTGCAAACTCACCAAAAAACTAAGTATTTTAATTGTAGTTCATGAACAAGTGACTTGGTTTGGAAAATTAAGGGTTTTCTTGATATCCTATTTTAAGAAAGATTTAGGTAACATTAGCTTGAATCCTCCCAAACAAATTTTGGTCGATTTGTAAATCCTACTGCTTTGATAAATCCAATTTCACCCTAATTATTGGTTAAATCTAACATTTACTAAATCCCATCATTCCTAGGATTTAACTGATTTAATAATTTTCTCTCAAGAAAATCTTAAAATCCTGAAACAAATAGCAAAAAATTGTATCAGAATTTAGCAAAAATTAATAATTGACATACAAACAATTTTCAAGTTTTAATCATCCCATAATCTACAAAATCAGGTTTTACAGGATTTAGTAATTTACTAAATCCTAATCCTACTTGTGTCAAATCCTACTTGTAGCCAAGCAAACCCTAATTTAAATCTAAAGTAAAATGTTTCCATCAGAGTTTTTTTCTTGTTGTACTTTATACAAAAATAAGTTAGTGAACTACAATACAAGCATTTAAGTTCATAAGTTACTATATTCATAAATCCGATGCAAAATAACTGTGATCACAGATGCTTTGCAGATTTACTAAAGATCGTCTAAAAAAAAAAGAATTTACTAAAGATTGTATTTCAAATGCAGCCCAATAAATAGAAAACAAAAACAGTTAAAAAGAAAAATTAAAGGAGAGAATTGCAAGCGGGCGGATTGATCAGTGCTGGCAGCCTAGAAGTGAAAACAAACAAAAAAGAACGGAAGATGGAAGTGGATGACGGGATTTGTTGGGCTTTTGACGTGACTTAAACAGCAAAGGGTAACCCAAAAAGCCCATGTCTTTATTCACTGTCGCCTCCGACAAGAAGAAAGCCCATCTTCGTCTTAGAACCCAAGAAATAAAAATCGTCTCCAAGATCACAGATCGCTCCTCTCTTTTCCGCCTTCTCATACGTCCATTTTCACATATCGAAAACGAAACAGATCTAATAACCCACAACTGATATCATTGTGATCGGCGCGGAGGTACCAACCAAAAACATAGCATCCCACCGCAAGAAAATGTATATGTTATCGTTCGAATCAGAAAAGAACTCGCCAGAGAATAAAGTAGGCCTATCAACAAAACGACTGCAGGGAAAGGCAAATTATCACTGCTAAAGAATCTCACCAGATAACTGGCTAGGCCAGTTATAGAAAGTCTTGTGAAGACGAAGGCGGGAAGGAGAAAGGTTCGATATTCCGGGCCTGGATCTCTAATTTTTTATGCTGCCGTTGTTGTTGGGTTGGGGCTTCGCCGGGGAAACCCTAGACTGGAAGTAAGGGCTGAAGAAGGAAATGCAGAAACGGGGAGATCTCGGCCTCGGCCTCTCATTCGGGGCTCTCTTAATATGGGCTTGACAATAGTTGAGCCCACCACGCTCTTCTCAGTTTTACATTAATAGATTTCTTATTTGTTCCAGGCTGGACAAACCTATGAGGAAAAGCCAATACCAAATCGATTGGCCCGATTGGGTATAAGGGGCTCGTGAACGTCATGTGGACCAGGCCATTTCTCCTTCAATATGGCTTCGTGATCTTGTAACAAACCAAAATTATTCGGTTAATTAACGCAGTCGAATTGCATTATTATTCTCTTATTATTCTATAATCCTTTCATTTTTTGTGAATATATTATGTAATTCATAAATAAAAATGACAATTTTTATCATCCAATTATAAAATTTGAATAAATTTGACCAAGAAAAGTAAAAAATGCTGGATTTTTTTTTAAAAAACACAACTGAGAAGTGGGTAATTTTAAAATGAAAAAAATAACAAAAATAAATATAAAATGACAATGCCACCTTTTTTAATTTCAAACAAATAATATAAATATAACAATATAATACACCAAAATATTTTCATATTTGTATATTTAACCTTCACAAGGAAAATGAAGCACTTAGAAACATTTTGAGAGAGTTATAGTAATATTAATTAGACAATTTTTTAAAATGATATTCGTTGATAATTACTTCGGTGAAAATAAAACTAAAAAATAACAATTTAAATATGTTGTCAGTCGTTTGATAACCCAAAGATTGGTTTTGACGTGGCAAATCCACGTGGCAGTGGATCTAGTTGTTCAGGAGTTTTCGTTCGGACGTGGCGCAGCTAAAATGATGAGACTTAGCCTTTGTGTAGCGCAAGTTTTTATTGTTTTTTAAAGCAACTTTTTAGTATAATTTTTGAAAAACTGTAAATTTATATGTACTAAAAATTTACTTTAGAAAGTAATAAGAAAGTTGACTCAAACAAAACCTTAAGCTACTTGCTTTCCTACAAACTAAACATAATATATTTTTAGGGGCCTGAATATTGGTGGAAAAGATTTATCATCTATATTTCAAAAAATAATTTACAAACAATTAAAAAAATGCAACATAAAATTGATGTGACTCTTCTCATTCCAATTTTAGACATGTTACAAGCTAGAACATGCTTAAAATTAATAGTCATAAAAAGAATTTATTATCTTAATATTATATAAAAAGCTCATACAAACAAGCCCGATGCATTCCTCCACTTTAGCCATCCAACTTGAATTCTGGTAAGAATATCCTCATATATTTCACCATCACTCTAAATAATAAATCCAATATATCTAAAATGTGCACTCTTATTAATGACTTGATCGCCCAAAGTCACAAACCCTCCACTATATCTATTACTACAAAAAGTACACTCCATATATTCAATTTTAGATCTACTCAAATGAAATTCTTTAGACTCTAAGGTTGACATCTATAATTCAAGTTTACTTTCATCTCCCTCTCTAGTCTTATCAACAAGAATAATATCATTAGCAAAAAGAATACACCAGGGTATAACCTCTTGCAAATGTCTAGTGAAAACAACCATTACTAAAGCAAAAAAATGTGGGCTTAAGGCTGATTCTTGATGTAATCCAACAAAAATAGGAAAATACTTGGTTAAACCACCTTGTGTTTGAACACAAGTAACATAACGTGCATACATATCCATAATGACTTGAATATAAGCATTATTAAGTCCTTTTTTTCTAGAACTATCCATGACACTTCTCTTGAAACTTTTTCAAATATTTTCTCTAAATCAATAAATATCGTATGAAGATCCTCCTTATTCTCTCTATGCTTCTCCATCAAACCTCTCAATAAATGTATAGCTTCTATAGTAGACCTACCCGACATGAATCCAAATTGATTTTGAGAAACATTAGTATCATGTCATAACCTATTCTCCATAACTCTCTCACAAAGTTTTAAAGTATGTCACATTAACTTAATTCCTCTATAATTCGCACAATCTTGTGCAACACATTTATTCTTAAAAATAAGAATCAATGCACTCATTCTCTACTCATCTAACATCTTTTTATTCTTCAAAATAATATTTAAAAATTTAGTAAGCTAAGAAATTTCGTCATCTCCTAATTATGTCCAAACCTCTATTGGAATTTCATCATGTCCAACAGCTTTTCCATACTTCATTTTCTTTAAAGCGTCTCTTTTTGGTTTTACTAATATTTTGATAAAAAAAATTCTTTATTTTCATTAAGAATGGTAATATCACTAAAGTCAATCGTATATTTAAAAATTTTCTTGAAAAGTTTAGCAAAATATCTCATCCACTGTTGTTGAATATCTTTTTCAAATAAAACTATGTTTTGATTTTCATCCTTAATGACTTCACTTGCACTAAATCTTTATTACTTCTATCTCTTTGTTTTATTGATTTATAAATATATCTTTAACACTCCTTAGTATCTAGCTAATTTATTATATAAATTATTAAAAGCTAAAATATTTGCATCGCATATTGCTTTCTTATACTCCTTAGAACATCTTTATATATTTCTAAATTATCAGAATTTTTACGTCTAAATCAATTTTTATAATAAATTTTCTTATATATTTTGATTTCATCACCAACTATTTTTTATTATGATGAGTTATTTTTTTCTTTTTATGCTTTAAGCACATCTTTTGTAATATTCTTAATATCACTACTTGTTTTTTTTTTCACACAATATTAACTTTCTCATATACAGACAACCTCTTAAGATCTAGAATTTTTCTCTAAAAAATATTTTTGTTAATTTTTTTTTAAAAGCACCAATCTAATCCTAGAACAATGATTTACTTTATTTTTTTATATTTTATCTTTCATCTTAATATCTAAAATTAATAAGCGATGATAGATATATAAATTTTCACTTTGAATAACTTAACAATCATTACAATCTAAACTATCTTTTTTCTTGTAAAAAAATAATCAATATGAGTTTTATTATATTCATTCTTCTAAAATAATTAAATTTTCATTTGTTTTCGTGAATAAGATATTAACAATTATAAAGTCATAAGCTATAAAAAATTTTAATATGATCTTACCACCTTCATTAGTCATTCCACACACACAGATACTATAAATGTTTTAAAAATCATCGACCTCTCAATCAACATGTCCATTTAAATCTCCTTCAATAAAAACTTTTTTTGAATATGTCTCTTTTATATTAATTATTCTAAGTAATTCTAAAATTTTAATTTTGAACAGATATCCAAACCTACTTAAGGAGCATCGACACTTATAATATTGATAATCATAACATCAACAATAATCTTTATGGTTATAATTTTATATATAATTCTATCAATTTTATAACATTATCATTTAAACTCTTATTTATAATCACACATATACTATTTCTAGCACCACTCTGTTAACTTTATTCTTGCATGAGGTTAATCAATTAAAATCAAACTAAAAACTAAGATCAAATCCAAAATCTCAAACAAAAAATTAAGGCCAAAAGAATATATCATATAACTATTTTTAATCACCTCAAAACCAAATTAAGTAACCTCCAATTCATGATCTATCAGTTGCATAATGATTAGATATGCCTCTAGGGTCAACCCTCCAAATTTGAGGGTATTCTAAGTCCTCTAACCCCCAAAATTGTATTGATTTTCAAAAGTTATAAAACTTTCAAATATTTGTAGTCCATGGCACTCGATCATACACATTATTAAATTTGACATTGGGGAACTTCTCAAAACCCTTGAACATGTCAATGATCCTTTTTATGACATGTTAAATACAAAGTTAAACTTTTGGTTAGGGCTGCAAGAAAACCAAATGTTCGATGAGTTACTCGTTGTTCGATTCGATTAAAGCTCGTTTGTGATCGTTTAACTAACTAAACAAATAAATTTGAAAAATATTTTTAATACTCGATCTTTAAATAAACAAGCTTGAACACTAATGTGTTCGGTTCATTTGTGCTCACGAATAACATCATTTGAAACTTGTGAACATGCATCGTTAAATCTTGCTCATTAAATAGCTCAAGAATACTCATTAAATTTGTTCATGAACACGTTTGTTTGATAGTTTAAAAAAATTTGCTAAATATGTTTACGAACATAGATCATTAAGTCTTGTTTGTTTAAAGCTCGATAAGCACTAAACAAACTAAACATAAACCAAACATGAACCAAACATGAACACCAATAATTTAAATGAATTAAACATGAAACAAGCTAATAATAAATGAACACAAATATGAACACTCACATACTTGGCTCGATTTGATTCGTTTACAGACGTACTTTTGGTGGACCCTAGTTGACCATAACTAACCATGGGCCAATTAAACCCCAAAATCCTTAAGGGAAAATCAATCTTTCCCTTTAACCTCAATATGGCTCATTCAAACCAACCTTTAAAAAGTATTCTAATGCATTCTAAATATCAGTGTATTTAAATCCAAGTTTAGGTTTGACTTTGTTAACCAAAATACCCCTTAAGGGCCAACCATTCATTTCTTGCAAGGAGACCTCACCATTGCATGAGACCGCCTCCATTGGGTCCAAAATATCATATGAACTTATTGGACCTAACCCTAACCCATGGGTTGACCTTGTTGGCCAAGTCATTCATGATTGACTAAAACAACCATACACTTAACCAAATCCAAATTCAATGCTCCAAGTACTATCATGCATGCCAAACTAAATCCTCAAAATCATTTGATCGTATGTCCCATGCATATCCAACATCAGCATGAGTCAATTGTCATTTGATTTGACTTAGTCAACCCATTTGAAGTGGTTAAATCCATGCATGTAGCCAAATTTTTAACCAAACTCCCAAACCATTGTCTCAAACCCCTTGGGATTTATTCCTACATCAAACATAATTTCCTCAAAACCCATCCCTAACATCATTGATTGGTTGACTGGTCAATAAATCAATAAAACCAAGAAACAGGTGAAAATTGGTCAAATGGTCAAACCATCTCAAAGCTTTCATTCTCCCGCAAAGCCTCCTTATTTAATCCACTCAAACATGTTCAAATCAGATGTAAAGTAACCTTAATGT